CAGTTTGGATAGCAGATGCATTTAAAGTGTGATATAAATGTTTTATTGTCCAATTTTGTTCATTTTATTGCACATTAAGTTTCATGTTAGTAATGTTAGTTGTTTTGACTTCTAACTTCTTCCTGTAAAACTGACAAGTTGGCCTCTCCAAGTTTCTGGGCTCCACTTTCACTTGGCTTCTAACTGAAATGCTCCCACAGCAATGCTGTGCTGTTTTTTGGCTTTGGAATTATATCAGTGTAATTATTGTCAATTAACACATTTTAAAGTTCCAGTTTAAATGCTAGACATTTTTCACAGTTGGTTCCATCAAACTGTAGCAAAGGAGTGGGCACAAAATGGTGAACAAAAAGGAACTGATGTTGGAGAGGACATTTATGTTAGCTGTGTAACACAGACGTTTGCTGTGAGACAGCACCATTAACGGAAGAGTGTAAGACCTCAAAAAGCCACTGGGTCTTTTGAATAAAATGAGCTAAATCAAATGTGGAACATCTTCGAGACATTCTGTTTATTTTAATTATCCAAAGATCATCACACAGCCAACTCCACTGCATGGGCATCTTGCTTTGGTCATTTTTTAACATATAATGTTGGAGTTATATATTCTGGGCTCGTTCTGGCCTTTACATTAGTGCTAATGAACTGCTTTTCTGAAGCCTCGAAGAACACACAATAAATATCCATCCTTTTCTCAGCAAAGTCACGCTGGAGCCTATCAACAGGCAAGAGGCGGGGTACACCCTGGACAGGTCGCCAGTCCATCGCAGGGCCTCACAGAGACTTCTATGGGCAACATAACATGCATGTTATATCTATCTCTCTCTCTATATATATATATATATATATATATATATAGCTCAGATTGACCTAAGTCATTAGAAACAGTCTGCTTCATAAGTAGATGATATTAATGACTCAGTGAGACAAGTGTGAGAGAAAAGAGGCTTTCAGTGCCAGCAGGTCTCACACTTGGCTGAGCCTCACATGGTTCCACTCATTTCTAGCCCAGCAGTCTACAACCACCAGACACGTTGCTGTGCGTGGCTCACCAACCATCTGGGATGTTTCCTCGCATTCCGTAGAACCATTCCATAGAACTTCTTCCCATCCAACCTATCTGTGTGCTTTTGCAACATGCCTTTGATTAAATACCCTTTTGAGCCCTTTGAGAGACATGCAGGGCATGTTGTCTTTACTTACAGAAAGGTAAAACAAAACCTGGAGTTATACTGATATTACAGCCTTTTCCCTAAGAAGAAGCTTTTTAGTAGTTACCCGAGAGATTTTTTTTCCAATATTAACCACAATTCAAACTGCTTATGTCGCGTTACGTCAACTTTATCAGTGTCAGGCATTCCTAAATATATGGGTTCTTATTTTTCCAAACAAAGTCTGGGACAAGCACCCTTTACATCAGCTTTTAAGCACTAGGGAACCTTTTCTGTCACTTTGTGACAATTCAACTGCAAATTGCCGGTTATTGTCACATCATGCACTCGTTGAGCAAATGACATAAAGCAACAAGGATGCATCATATTTGTGCTGGTTTATCATGGTCCATTCAAGAGGAGAGGGAAATAGAGGATGGACACACTCCTTGCAAGTGTCATTCGTTCTGTGTACCCACTATTGATTTTGCATTCTTTGGATTAATTGAAATAAAGAAAATAAGTAAATACATATTTAAAAGTAGTATTTTAGAATGGTCTGAATCAATAGTATTTTAAAGCTTTGCATGGTTCAGTTGTGTGAATGTATTGCAGAAGTTTGAAAAAGGCAATGTGCTGATGCCATGTCCATTCTATATCTGCCCTCAGACAGTAGCAGCTGTCTCCCGGCCGGCTAAATTTATTATATGGCTGCTAAGCCAAACATGTCTGGTGTGAGCTAACCCTGCTCAAATTACTCTTTCTTTTTATTAATTGAGCTATATAGGCAAAGCTCATATGTCAAAAAACTTTATTCCGCCCATTAATATGGAAAAAGTATTTAATTCCCTCAATAGAGAAGAAAGGTATTATACATAATAGTGTGGAAATTCTCAGACTGAATATAGTTGCACCATAAGGCTCAGAACATAAATTAGCTGTTGAACAGCATGAGGTTGACAAATGCATTGTGGGCGCATCTGGTTACCTGTGAGTATTGCTATTCTAAGGAATTTCCAAGTCAGCATTTGGATAGAGTTTTAAACTAGAGAAAACTGCTTATTTGAAACAGAAAGTTGAGGAACTGCTCTCAGTTGCAAAAGTGTGGACACAGAGTTGTTTTACTGATTTTATTTATGTAAGATACAGAGGTTTGAAGCACTTTACCTTTGCTCTGTGGTAATAATTAAACAGTGTTCAAGACAGCAAAAATAAAGATTTAGGGTGTAAAGCTGAAGATTAAACTTTTTTTACAAAAGCCTAACGAGTTTTGGTTTTCGCAAAATACAGTTGTTAAAACATGCTGTCAAGGAAACTAAAATTTGAAATCTGTAAGGGCTTCACAGATGAAAAGATTATTGTTTTTTGTTTTTTTCACATTCCATTTGTCATGCAGTTAGTTTGCATCCTGCAGCACATGTGCGTGCTGCTTATACTCCTTATGTGACACCTTTTGATTTGTGGATGTGCAGAAAGCTGATGCTTTTGAACACGGAACTGCAGCTAAACCTGAATTTCTGAATTCATTCTTTTAAAATGATTCCCACAGGTGCTTAGAATTTTGTAAACTTGTACAGATACATACATAACCTCAGCTGAACTGAAGGTCAAGGACTCCATATGGAACGTGTGTCCTTAAAATCCCCTTGGTTAAGTTACTGGGCATAAATTTGATTTACAGCTGTTTAGACATCATCATATCTGCCGCTTAGATGTCTGTGTGTGACACACATAGACATCATGTGGAGGTCACATACTGCCACTGGTTTTACTGACATTTTAAAGTCCAACAAGTTTGATTAATTCATTTTTAAATGGCTATACCACATACATTATGTTCCTGCACAATTAGAAAAAAACAAAATCCAAACTCAAAAACTGTACATTTACCTATTAAGAGATTCAGATTTGTGCACTCTGTGCATGTCGCGCAAATGGTGTCAAAGCCTGCGAGATGACTATCTCTGTGTTGTCTTTTTTTTGTGTTTGCAGGGTGAAAGAATGGGTGGACCAGATGCAGAAAGAGTTGATCACATTAACAGACTCAGCAAGTGGGTTGCAGAGCCTAATACAGGTAAATTACTTTATGTTGCTGGACCGGTCTCATAGCAAAATGTAAAATTAGATTAAATGTGCGGGGTGTATCTCACATGGAGTAACATGTGCACAACGTTTCAATGTTGAGTGCCCTCCACACAAGTCTGCGCAATTCTAACCCTGGTCCTTTGCTGCATGACACCCTGTCTCTTCCTGCTGTATCAAGTTAAGGCTTCAGGGGCTCCCCAAAATATCTCAAAACTTACATGTGTAGTCTGCAAAGGTGTATATAACGTGCTCACTTAACTCATATAACACCTGATTGTTAACACCTGATTGTTAACACAATCACACCTGAAATCAATGTACTTAAACTCAACAGACCATTAACCCATTTTTAGATTAAACTACAATCATCACAGTGACAGATGTGAATGTTGAGGTGCTTTGATTGATGGGCTCTGGGCTCTGAAAATACTTTCGTGACCTCTCAGCACTTCTGCACTTTTGACTTGATTAAATATTCATTTAAAATTACACATCAACTTTCTTTTTTCACAAGTCAGGATGACACAAGTGTGGTTGGGATCAGCATTTATACTTTGACGAATCTTCATCTGTGTTCACTGTTTATTGGCGGCTTTTGAGTTCTTGCGAAATTTCTCGAAGTATTACACCCTTTCTTTATCCTTTTTTATTCATTTTGAATGGGCTAAAAATAGGTCTGTGGGTAACGAAAGCAGACACTGCGGGATTGATTTCTCTTTTGCTTTAAGGAATAGCCACAAAGCAGTTTCTGTCATTCCCTTCTTGGGCTAATTATCCCTCCTTGCACAACCTAAGCAATCACAACACACATCATTAGTCTATTCATAGTAGCTTCTCATTAAACTAAGCTCTGCATCGTTCCATTGTGTGTCAGCATAATGCACACACTGATATGGTGATGACTATGGTGTGACACACCCTCGTATTCTTATAAGATGACCCACATCTGACTATGAAGAAGTTTGACATACAGAGTATCCATTTGGTTTTAGAGAATTACTGAAATCAGGAACAATCATTTCCATTTGGATGTAGTGCGCTGGCCGTTATCGGAATAGAAAATCCCTTCTATTTTTTAACTTGGAACAACAAATTCCAGGTATTTGGACCATAATTTCTTTAACCTAAGATAACCGGAACTCTGTCATATTACATTGTTATAATTCAGTGACATATGGAAGGAAAACTGAGCTACTTTGTGATAACATTTTCCCTAAATGTGACAATACTTTCATCTTGAATCAAGGCATAAATCCAAGGGAAGCCTGAAGCATCAAGACAAATACACGTATGAGCCTTGGTTCTGTAATTTGAATGTCGGACTGTAAAATCCCTTAAGGCTGCTAAATAATTGGCAGTTTGGCATTTGTGGGTCTCGTTCTTGCTGCTCATTCATGTTCTCTTGAATGGTAAATTGTCTTATTATATAACAACATGCTACTATTTAATCAGCAGATATGCAGCTTTCTATTTTAATCAGTGTGTGTTTGTCATCGAGGTCTGTGAAGAAAAGAGGATGGCCGCTGATTCTGAGATGCATTTTTAACTTACAACACAATAACTCTGGCAATAAATTGGAGAGACGAAATTAGAAAATTAGATGGTATCCCCAAAAACATAGAACAAACTGGACAAGATATTCTTACAAAAGACTGAAATAAAAAATCCACCTGATCTCTAATCCAAGCTTGTTCATTGTGATTTTCTTAGATCTATCAAAAACACAAAGCTCACTTCACTATTGAGTCCAACAATGCAAGGAAACTGGTGGCAACTGCTGCGGGAGACATAGAGAGGCTGCTGGATAACCGCTCCCAAGCCTTAAAGGTGAGTGGAATCTTACACTTATACGACTAAGCTTGTGGAATAGTTGTGATTTTTTTTTATCTTTCTTTTTATATATCAGTGATTTTGGAACCTGCAGAAAAACGACAGACTCTTGATGGTTTATGTGGTTAAAGCCAATGTAAAGCTACTCTTAGCACAGTGGCAAGGGCTCAGAAAGAGACACAGACACAATTTGCTTCTCCTTATTTTCCGTCAGAACAGCAACAAGAACACACCCGTTGCTTTAGGCCATGTGCTGATCCGACATAATCAGATATCCTCCAAACAGATGACTTAATTCTGTGTAAGTTACCAGTGTGGGTAGCTACATGCCAAGACGAATATCAGTAAATTTGTGTATCACTTCTACCAGGGGAAGATGATATTTATTGTAAGAAACAGGCCTAATCTTTTCTCCTTATGGCTAGCTCCAGCTATTTGGGATTGTTTCTCGGGGAATAAAATGTAATAAAACCATTTTTTGATGTAACAAAACAGAAGGAAAATACAGTGAATTGATAATTGTGAATTGTCTGACCACACAATATAAAGAGCTATAAAGGGGTGTGAGGTCTCCCCAGATTTGGGTTCTGTGTTTGTCAAAAAACACACAAGACATATATGATTGAAAATATGTAACAATGCATTAGACTCTGAGGCACTATCTCAGTGAAGTCAAGACATAAATGATGGAAAGGGAGCTGTAGAACAAGAATGATCTGAGGTTTAAGTCCCTGTTGGCAGGTGAGCAGAGATTGGAGGTGGCAAAAACCTCTAATGGGCTCTTCTGGTTTCCCCAAGGTGCAAAGGGAGGCTACCACCATAAAGCTAGCCTCATTGTGAGTTACCTCAACAGATGCTGGAAAACTGTTGGAAAACTTGCTTTGAAAATCTGATCTCATGAACTTTTCAGCTACTGCCACCACGGGGTAAAGAAATAAAAATAAATAAAGTCATGCCAGTCTATCCCAGTGTACAAACTCACTGAACTAAGATGGTGGACAGGTAACATGCATCAGCATGTTGACATCATTGACTTTTGGTCTGGTGGGCTTATAGTAACAAACAACGAGCTAAACAGATCTGTACAACTTGTCACTGCTCCTTTCTTTGAAAGAGGGCCAGACATATCCTGATGGCACGTTTCCATGGTGACATTCACATTGATTGTTGCATCAGTCCAGCCAAGCATTAATTGCCAAGCGATAAGCAACAATTAGTTTTTGGTGCTGCGTTGCAATTTGGGAAATGAACATAACTGTTCTGTGAACTGATGGCAGTGGAATAGAGATATTAAAAAGGCTCGGTTATCAGATCTTATCTTATCTTACCAACTGTTGTGAATCTATACCTGTTCAAGTAGTTTTTTTTTACATTTTAGTAAAGAGGAGAATATCATGCTTTATTACTATCTTAGAGAGTATTTGACATTTCTATGTGTGTTTTTGTCATTGCTGTTGCACTTAAGAACGGCCTGTGATGGCATTTTTTGTTCCAGATCATTCTCACAGCACTGCTATTTTCAACTTTCTTAAAGTTTACCCCTCTTATGTTCAAAAGCTCTGAGTCCAAAGGATGAACTGATAGCATGAGAGAACGCAGCTCTCAATCTGAAGAAAAGAAACCCAATTGCCTGAGGTGTGTTAGAGGAATGGCAATTATGCACAAAAGATGGAAACTCGCTAGCAGTCCATGAGGCTTTTTCACCACACTGAAAGGAGGCAGTGTGCAAAAGATGAGAACCATCATCCATTAAGATCTTGACCTCTTTGTACCCAAGTCAGCAATTCTTTGTTCACAAAACTATGAAGTTGTAAATCTGAAGCGCAGCCTTGTTGTAGAATAAAGTACCTACAGGATAAAATGAGTCAACATTCACATGGAGAGTTTCCACCTCTAGCTCAAGTTATTTTGTGACAGGTGGTATTTTGTGGTGGATTCAGCTTTCCCTAACCTGCCCCATCTCTGATGAGCTTCCTCTTAGATCTTGTCACATACATGTGTGTAGATATAATCCCAAGATTCTAATGTACACCACTGAAAATATTATCTGATAAGAAATTAGATAACAATTCATTTTTTTGTCTTTTTTGTTTTACAACACAGTGATACAATTAAGGACTTAAACCTCAAATACTGGTCCCTTTCTTGTGGATGTGATGTCTTTTTTTTTTTAAAGATCCTTTTAACTTTATAACGCTAAACAAAAAATCCAATAACTGAATGAGTAATACAAACACAGTGGAGTACAATACCAGCCATGGTGAGACTGAAATATGTTGGAAAGCAGGCAGCTCTCTAACTAATGGCAATTTTCATTATTTCACTCGATCCCTTCGGCGAGGCTTTTTTTGTCAATCTGTATGTGTGCTGTCTGGGCATATGTGTAAATCTGGGGACTTGTCAGAGACCACAGTCTCCATTAGAATGATGGCTGCTGTCATTAACTTAATCAGGGGCCCTGCTTGGATTTACTGTCTGTCATTCCGTTCATTCTGTCACCTCAATTCAATCACTACATTTGACTACAGTGCTCCCTTGATGTGCAATCTCTCAAATGTTGGCAGCTGTGGCTCGGACCATCAAGAGATTCTTCATTTCAGCTGAGATAAATGGGATGGTTGATGTTCATATCAGACTCACAGTGAGTCACATTCTCTGGTGTGTCATTAAAAAATGAATAAATAGATAAAAACCTTTCCTAACCTTGGTTGTAAATATGCAATCTTATTATGACATATGTGGATTGATTAAAGCCTCGAATGGTTTAACTGAGACGAGAAAAAAAGGGTTTACCTTACAGGAAATGTTGGGAAGTAAAGAAATGAAATAATCAGACAGTATTTTGGTCTGAAGAATTACTTTTGCAACAAGGCCTTATTCTTATTGATACAATTTTAGGTTAGGTTAAAGATTAGGACAGTCTCTATAGATGATAACCTTAATGTAATGCATAAAACCTGCCATCAGCTACTAGCTATTCTTCAAAGTGCAATTGGTCAGATTTAAGAACATTCATGGATGGAAGTGCAAAGTTTGACTGCTTAACGTTTTGATGACCTGACTGAGGAAATGATTTAATTTCCATCCCACTCATGGGTGGTGGAATAATCTGTTTTGCTATGATATTTGCATTTGTCGCATATTCACGTGTATCATGCGACATTGATGGCCAGCAGAAAGGAAACCACCACAGTGCTGGGAGGACAGCAAATCACTGATTATCCCAGTTTTATGTGGGAGTAACTGCAGACTGAATATTTTTCACCCGGATCTCTTTGATACAGTAGATGAATCAGATTCTCTTGGCAGCTGCTGTTGTAGCTAAGTCTTACTGCTGATAAAACTCTGGAGATTACAGTCACTGAATATTATCATGTGCACAGCCTGGATTCTACTTATGGTCAAATTCACCAAGTGGATCAAATATCCTACTTCTGGACTTTTGATCATAGCCACAATCAGCTTTGCCCTCTTTTCCTGTGTCATGTCTTATATCTTCAGTTCAATTTCTTTTTTCATTCTTCTCTAGTCGTGTCTTTCTGTGCTGCCTGTTGCTTCTATATCGACAGAATGTTTCTTGTTGTTTCAGCATTGGTTAACAATATTTTATGTGGACCTCTTAGGAGCTGAAAAGCTTTCTTTCTATTTTTTGCATGTCCTGTAATTATAAAAATAAAGAAATAGATATATAAATATTGGTGCAGCAGTAACAACATCTAAATGTCAGACTGTCAATTACAGAAGCATCATTTATTTGAAATTAGTTAATTTAAAATGATCTCTCATTTAGGTTAGTAATTGAAAACTATTTGAGTTGCTTTATATCATTTGTTCTTTGACTTAGAACCACCTCTGCTTACTAATTGGCTCCATCATTATACTCCCACTCCATAGCTGTATCGTACGTGTGAACATTGATTAATTGCAACTCACAAAAGCAGACATGGACACTTGTAGCCAGTACAGTTATCCAGATGTTTTTTTCTCTTTTTCATTTTGAACCTGCCTCAGCACCAGGTTGCCTTGTCCTGATATTCAGGTCACCTCTGACTCTGTTCTCATCCATTATTGAACATTCCCTCTTAAGCAATAGTCTTTGATGGAGCCTGTGGTTAACTTCCCCCAGTGGAATAGGTCATTTCTCTCCCTGAAGTGACACCTGCAGAGATCCCTAGAGGTGTACATTTATCATTAAAAAGAAGGATAGTTTTTGCTGCTTACCAAATGCAAATGTTGCTAATACTAAAATACGCACTGACACATCAAAAACTTAAAGTGTTGCTTTCTTCTTATAAGATAGAAGAGTAGTTTTTTTACGGAACAAGCAAGGGCTCAGATAATGGGTTGAACAAAATCTGATTGAGCATCATAAAAACAGAAACATGTACACCTAAATGCTCTGTTTGTTTGAATATTTTTGTGAAGGTTTCAAAAAGTATACGTTGGCAGAATCTGTGGATGCTCTTGCACATGAGCCAACTCGCTCTACCAGAAAATGTTGTAACTTGACACTGTTAGACAGAGCCCCCTGTGGCTGTCTCTAGGTTAAATCACCCTACTGTTTGTTTTAAACACACACAGAACTATCGTATGTATATTACCTCACACAGTACTCGCTGGCAGTGTGTGCCATTGTTACAAACCTGGTCCATACATCAAGTCAGTGTGTTTCCTGTCTGTGAAGGCTGTTGAAATAAAGTCATTCTAAGCTTGAACCCACAAAGAAGCTAATTTTAATGCTCAGCATCTACCTTGGGGGATACCTGTTCCCAAAAACAGAGAAGGTGTTACAGTAGGGAGGAGACTCATGAAATGGTTAGAACAAATATTTCATGGGGAAAATGTCAGGAATCGACACTAAATGAACATGCAAAAATAAAAGGAAGATCTTAAGGAGATTAGATGATGCAGGGCCATAGAGCAGACAGCTGAAGGCTGAGCTATTTGAATATTGATTGGTTTGCTATTTTGGGCCTTGGAGATTGTATTAGCACTTT